AAAAAATCTCCAACCACATTCCAAAGCAGCAAAACACAGGAGAAGCAACTGAGATAATATTGTTTTCATTTTTTTTCTGAGGCTTCTCAGTTTTCCAGGAGAGAAATCCTGGCAAAGGAATTTTTCCAGAGAATGTGATGGTGACACTCAATGTTCACATATTACCCACTACTTCTGGAACCTGTTGTGGTCCCTAGTGAATGACTTTGTTCCTGTGTCCCAGAGTAATCCTAGCCCCAAGCACCTGATATTATAATAATAGTATGTGCACACTGTCTGGGAAGTTCTTCTGAAGCTCATGAGAGCATGAAGACACCATGGCAGCTCTTGCTGAGTCTGTCTAAGGCACTGTAAACCAGGAAAATAGGTGGTTTTTGTCAAAATAGAAACCTTAGAAATTTTCCAAGCTATTCCTGTGACCCTTGAAGAAAAATCCTGATGAGCAATTTACTTACGAGTACCTGCCTGACATCTTCCTCACAACTGCAATTATTATTCCTGCAAGGATTCCAACTGCAACAATGATGCCAATAATTATTCCAAGCAGTGCAATTGTTCCCAGACCACCTGAAAGAAGAAATTGGGAACGTTAGTGTGCATCTCATGGAGAACATTGGAAAATGGGAATGTTAGTATGTATCTCATGGAGACCATTGATAGAAGGCTACTGATAGACCTGGTGCTGTTCTGCTGCATCCATCCCACTTCTTGGGGAAACTTCATACTGTCTTGTGAATTTTAAGTAGGTTTGGATGTTCAGCAGCCTGGTATTGTATTTGTGTTCCTCCCAGATGGAGGAAGGAATGATGGATCTGACTCCATGTTCTCAGAAGGCTAATTTATTGCTTTATGATACTATATTATATTAAAGAATACTATACTAAACTATACTAAAGAATACAGAATGGATACTAAGNTAATTAATTTTAGATTGTTCCTCATTAAAAGCAGTTCAGCAGCATCAACACTGCAGAACTTCAGCTGGTGCCAGAGAAATTAATTAAATAATTCATTTTAGATTGTTCCTCATTAAAAGCAGCCCAAGCACACTCCTGACCTGAGTGCTCTTGGAGATTCAAGTGATTTTTTTGCTCTGTATCCTTTGTTCCTGTCTAATAGAAAAGCACATTAAGGGTGGTGTTACTGTAAAATGTAATGGAACTTCACTCCATGGGAACTAATATGGAGCTGTGACAGGACTAATGTTTTAATGTTTAGAGTTTCCTGGGTTGGTGACTTTTCTCTTACCTGTGCCATAACCTTTGGCAAGCCACTTCATCTGGCAGTGTTTGTCGTCTGCCTGTGGACAATGCACCAGTGCTGCTGAGTTTGAACTCTTTACAGAGGTGTTAATGTGCAGGGTGTCCTTACTCTTTAATAAAATCCGATGTGGTTAAGATAATTGTAATGGCATGCTGCAGTGCTCCTAAAATAATAAGCAATTGCTGCATGTTTTAATTGATATTTAATCATAAATTAACACTAATTTATAGGCATTAGTCAATCTCCATAATTCTTCTGGTGCACAATTTTTACTGCTGATTTTATTGAATTAATTCTTCTGACATTTTCAGTTCTTACAGGAAAACCATGCCTCAAATGAACCCTTGTAAGAATTGCTGTATTGATGTCCAGAACTATTATAAATATTGATGTTTCAAGTCACTGCTTTCATGGTTCCTACTGCTGTGTATCTTCCCCACAGACACAAATGCAAGGGGACAACACTGTTTATGATATTTTTTAGTGACATCTGGCATTCTCACAGGAAGCCTGGTGCCTGCTTGTCTGTTCGGGGGAGCCACATTCATGACTCAAAGCCAAGCTGCAAAAGGGAACATTATTGTTACTAACTCTAAAGGAATGAATATGATCAGGAGTGAGGGCTTGAAGTTAAAAGCAAGTGTTGATTTATTGAGTGTTGTTCCCTGTGAATAAAAGTCAAGCTTGGCCAGCTGGTGAAAGCATGGAGCTGTTGTTTCCTTCATGCATAGGAAATCTCCTGACCTTGGCCTTGGTTGTTCTGATCACTCATTTTTCAGCTCACAGAAGGATTTGTCCTGGGACAATGTGCTGTTTGACTTCTCACAAAGCACAAAAGGTCCCATCTTCCACAGAAATTCTACCAAAAAACCACATAGTTTGTGTTCAACCCACCTTTGAGGTCCTGAACTAGTAACAGGAAATTGCACAATGTGACAGCTCAGAAACAGAATTCTGCAGTAGATTCATGTGAAATACAAACCTCTGTGCATCTTTAGTCTGCATTTCCAAAATATTGGTATCATGAAATTACAGATTAATTAAATTAAAGATTCAGTAACACATAGATACATAACAAATGTGCAAGATTTTAATGAATTTTCAACAAATGTGCAAGATTTTAATGAATTTTCCATTGTTTCTTGAGGTTTGCTGGAAGCTGACTGGAATGTTCTGCACTTCAGATTTCTGGGCAGCAAGGTGTATGAATCATCAGAATATTGAATGTATCAGTGCAGCAGCAGCTGCTGGATTTTCAAAGTAAGAGATATATTTTGGTTCTTTGAAGTCCTTGCTTTCTTTAGCCATAACTGAGTATCCTGGACTCCAGCTGATAATCAGAAGGAAATTTTCTTCATGTTTTTGTTGGTCAGATTTAAAACAGCACAATATTTACTGCTGAGTCTCCAGGGCTGGAAACTCCCCCTAAATATTTCAGTGGAGTGTGGGCCATTTGGTCAAGGATTGACTTTTTTTACCTAAGATTTAAAAAAACTTGCCTTAAACAAGGGGATGCTCTACAAAGGCACAGATAAGACCAGAAAAATTAATATTGTTGTAATATGAAGTTAATATGGCTTCTGGAGCAGGAACAAAGCACAGTGTCCTTGAACAGAACGCTGCCTGTTCAATTGTTCTGCCCATGAAAACTCAGAACTGCCCAGAAAGGTTCTCTGCTATCCATTTTTCAAATGGGGGGCTTGTTACTATTGAGTAAGAAAGGTTTCCTCATTTTGATTCTTGCAAATTAGCAGTGAGTGAGCTGAGGCAGAAGAAACTGGTGACATCTGTGCATTCCCTTCAGTGGGTGAATAATTCATAATTCCATATGCCACGGATTTGAGCAGGCATCAGAGCACCTTATGGGGTATTTCCCAGTACAGATTAGAAAATGTTAAATTGAGGCTAACAGAATTAATATTCTTTTGCTGCAAGAAGAAGAAACCTGTAATTTTCCTGCTTTCATATCAATTTACGCAATGATAAAGATTAGATTTACTCCTTGGTCACAGACTGAGGGTCTCATCACATCAGCTCCAGAACTAACTAAAGACTTCTGAATCAGTTTTAATTCATGTGTTTAGTTTTCAATTATAGTTTCATTTATCAATGTCAAATGAGTTGGTTGTAGACATTACATTGATAAGACAATTAGCAAAATAAGTCAGGAAAACTGAAGGAACAGTAAGACATTTTACTGGGTTTTTTTTAAGAAAACAAGAACAATTATTGTAAAATAATACAGTTTACATTATGATTTTTATTACCAAAGCTTTCATTGATATGATAGTTCAAGGCACATGAAAGAAACAGAAAAGCAAACACAGATAAGCTGACAAATTTAGCAATGGATGATGATATTGATTCTCATGATTTTCACACCAAACACTGAAGTGTTGGAGCATTTAGGAAGCCTGATGCACTGCAGTCGCTTGACATGCAAAGCCTTTGCTCTGAGCTCTGTATATCCAGGTTGTGCTGCTCTAAATACGCCCCAGAAAAGCTGCATCACACCTCAGTGACACATTCTGACCTGGTGTTGCTCATGTTGTCAAACAAATCAGCTGTACAGTTAGAAAATGGGACAGGCATAATGAGAAAACACAGTGTGCACTAATTCAAAAGCTTCTACACGTCAGCTCTAAAGTGACCCATCAAAACTGGGTATTTTCCAAGCACCCCTTAATTCAGGATGTGTATTTCAATTCCTGCATGTCTCTGCAACAAGAGAAGGCAGGAAATTCCTGATGCCATAGTCAGACGAGCAAGCTCTCAGTTGGTAGATCAGTTCCAGCCAGACCTACCATATTTTGCCACAAAATAACATAAATATCAAGAGCAGAAAATCTGTATCAGCAGTAGAAAGATTTTAGCTTCCAATATCCAGTATTTTTCCTAATTTGTAAATAACTGGTTCTCACTGAAGCTAATTTCTCCTTTTTGATACATCATGTGGTAAATAAACAAGTTAAGGAGCATTTAACCAGGCAAAACCACCTTTTGTTTTAAAAGTATACATATAATGTAATGTGAAATAATCTTTGGTGACATTTAAAACCCAAGCATATAATACCTGCAAATCACATTTCAGATGTACATCTCTTTGCTGCAGGGGTTTTTTTACTGCAATATCTTTTTCTTCTAGTAAAATTCTGGTTAATAAAAAATCCTATTAAACATTCCATGCTCTGTGCAAGGGGGGGGTGTGAGGGTGGTCCTTAGAATTGTGTGGTATCCCCATAGATCTGAAATATTTTGATTATATTTTCCATGGATCATCTTCTCACACAAATACAGGAATAGTCTTTAGTTTGTATGAAATAAGAAGCACTTGTATTTTCCAGCAGGGAATGGCATGGTAGCTTGTTTCAACTGTGTTTAGGGCCTGGAAAACAAAAAGCAGACATTTTATTGTTCATCATTACCCAAATATAAGTCACATAATGGTTTTTTTCTCTTTGTCTTTCCTATCACCTCTTTATTTCTCTTCCTAGTTCTTTTTTGGCTTTCTCCTGGTGCTCAGGATCTGCTCAGTTTCCTGGGGTTTTCTTACTTTCAGAGTTTGTAAAACTCTTTAGATTTCTGTGTCACCAAAAAAGAAGGTAGAGATCACTCCCCAATGTCTGATATTTTCTGAGACCTCTGTTGTTAGAAAGAATGATGAATCTGACTCCATGTTCTTAGAA